CAGATTTGTGTATTGGGATTAATTTTGCTTTTTTTCCACAAGGCTGGAAAAATACCTGTGCTGATGCTTAAGTTGCATATGGTGGTAACAGTATTGGAGATCATGTTTGCAAGGAAGTGGGCGGGAAGACCATCAATTCCGGTCGCTTTAGAGGGGTTCAATTATTTCAGGGAATCAGAAACCTCCTCAATAGTAATAGGGGGATACTAAATTTAGTTTGCCTAACAGAAGATAACGAGAAGGCTGACTGACTGTAGTCAACAGCCTCACTCATATCAAACTTGTCCTGAATGTTGGTAAATATTCGTTAAAAAGATTACTGACAATTGCAAGGTTGTCATATCCTCACATTATCAATAACTAAAGATAGAGGGGGAGGAGCCTTATTAAGATTTATAGTTGATTTCAAAACTCGCCAAATTTGTTTAGAATTCGTAGAATTGTCATTAAGAAGTGTTTTTATATACGAGTTTTTTGCATTCCTGATCAAATGTACAGACCTATTGCGCCAAGTCTTATATTGAGACCAATTAGTATTGTGAGCATCATTCGCATTCTTCCGGAACATTTTAAGATAGTAATCGCGATTGTGTTGAGCTATGCGGATTTCTTCACAAAACCATCCCAGACGTTTCTTAGATTTGACTCGTTTTTTTATGAGAGGTGCATGGGTATTTAATACCGAATTAAAATGTTCATAAAATATTTCAAAAGTTGATCGTCAGGAGAGTCAAATATTTCTAATGTGGTAGAAGGCAGAGTATCAAGGTCACTACAGAACCGAGATACATTTAAATGCTTAGTTCTGCGGTAAGTTATAGTTTGGTGATATTTCTAGTTACTAAATATGTGTGGATTAACTTTACAAGTTATATATATGGCCATCAAACACTATTTAATTGCTATTTAATTCCTATTTTATTGGGCTATTTAATTCCTATTTGTCAAAGTATTTATTTCCTATTTTTACTATTATTTTTTCTCGAGGTTTTTCCTATTTAAATTAGGGTAGAAAGGCTATTTTTTTCCTATCCAAGTGGAACCATATTTTTTTCCTATTTATGATATATTTCTAAACAAATACTTAATTGATATACTCGAATAGAAATTAAATAGGTTTCAAATATAATAAAAATAGGGAAATTATTAAAAATATATAGTTTTGACATAGTTAATAAATATATATGAAATAGTTAAAACATAGTGACAATATAGGTAAAAAATATGTAATAAATAGCTGAAATGAGTTCCAACAAAGTTTGAAATAGTCAATAAATAGTTCAAAAATAGTGATAATATAGTTTAAAAATAGATAATAAATAGTAAACCTGCTATTTAATTCCTATATTATTGAGCTATTTAGTTCCTATTTTTCAAAGTATTTATTTCCTATTTTTACTATAGGGCAAAACAGAAACTGCTATTATTTTTTCTCGAGGTTTTTCCTATTTAAATTAGGATAGAAAGGCTATTTTTTTCCTATCCAAGTGGAACCATATTTTTTTCCTATTTGATATATTTTAAACAAATACTTGATGTACTCAAATAGAAATTAAATAGGTTTCAAATATAATAAAAATATGGCTATTTATAGAAATTATTAAAAACATATAGTTTCGGCATAGTTAATAAATATATATAAAATAGTTAAAACATAGTGAACATATAGGTAAAAAATATATAATAAATAGCTAAAATGAGCATTATAAATAGTTGAAAACTAGTGATAATATAGTTTAAAAATAGATAATAAATAGTTAAAATACACCACATGCAGCTTGTTAAACATAGATAATAAATAGTGGATATAATATTGTTCAAATAGATTAAAAATAGTTAAAAAATAGTAATAACATATTAAACAAATAGTTATTTAATACAGTTAAAATAGTTATTAAATAGTATATATACAAAATATAGCCTATATTCTATTAATATTTTAAAAATATATTATAAATAGTTAAAACGTAGATAGTAAAAAGTTAAAAATAGTCTTTAAATAGAATATAATTAGTATAAAAAATTGAGTCAAACGTCTGCATAGTGTCCATCTGCTACTTTTTCTATTTGCTGCAGTGACTTCATTGGTCTTCAGTGCCTATGGAATATAGAAAATATGCCCAGTTAATTTTATATCAATACCACTTTATTAATTGTGTGCAAAGTTGATTTACGCACTGCCATTTGAAATTATAGAAGTGCTGAAACATCAGAGGTTATTATTGGTAGATGGCTAGCTGGCACTATTTCTTTGTACAATGCATTGGGAAAATCTCAAAAACTTTTCATGGCAACAAAATAACTTGCATACAATATATCGAGTTGGCCGAATATACAAATAACTATTAATCACAACAAACCTGTCTTTTCATTCTTCTTCCTATTGCTATGCACCAACACATTGCACTTCAACCTTAGTGCCTGCTTTATGTGGCTTCGGGTACATGCTTTTGCTGTCGTCGCTCTTGCAGCTGGCTCATTCTCCGCACTACTTTCGTCGATGCTCTTTTTAGTCTTTTCAACAATTATTGCCACCATAGAAAAATCTGTACAAAATAATAAATATATTCTAGTGAGTATAGTGATGATCGACATAAATATTGCTAGTGATGTCATACCAAGAGTTGGGCTTTATCGCTTAGACTAGAAGAAAGCTAATTAGTCAGGCTAAATGTACTAACTAAATAGCATATATTATATGCCATTAATTAAACTTGTCTCATACCAATAATTGCATCTACCACATCTTTGTTCAGCTCATGCAGCCTTTTCCCTTCCAGTTCAGCCTTTGGGTAGAACACAGATAAAAGGCTACATGCCAGGCCAGTTCGTGTATTGGAATTTCTAACTGCTGCTTTCACCTTGACGGGGCAGCACCATACTCCATTGCTGATTTCTTCCCACTGTGTACAAAAAATTAAAAAATAATAAAATTTTTTAGTATATTTTAAAGTAATAAACAACATCTATAGAATATGGTCGCACTCGGATGTTCACCATTTGGGCATCTGGCTTATCAGATATCCTGCTTTATTTTCTGTAGCAAGAAAATTTTTCCTGTGTATAATCTCTACTTGTACACTAAAAATGAATTATTTGATTTAACTTGCATGCCAAGTTACAAAGTACTGACACCTACATTTCTAGAAATCGCAACACTCCGTGGAACCTTTCCAAATCTCACATTGACATTGTTAGTGGTGTTTTCGTTGACCTTTCAAAGAGCACGTAAGAAGCAACTATTGTATCCAGGCAATAATATATACAGTATATGTATATAATTTTTTGTTTTTGAATAATTAATTGTAGCTTCAGAAAACGTGCATTCTTGCTATTTTATGCTGTGCCACTGCTGAGGAATCGTTTGCCTCCTGACCACCTCGTCTTCCTAATGTATTTGTGTGGAGGGTTATTCCGATTGCTGAAGAAGTCAATTTCTCGTGAAGATTTACAAGAGGCGCATACCTACTTGAAGTTGTTTGTCGCACAGGCACCTGTTCTTTATGGTATGTAAAAATAAGTGTTCTCACTGGTTTGGAACATGAATATTTACGAACATACAATTTTGTCGTGTGCGCGCTTGCTTACTCCAAAGTCTCTCAACAGAACGCCTGCAACGCGGGCTTATTATTTTTATGTAGTCGGTTTTCTTTAATGAACTGTGGTATATGCAGTATCTACAGTACAATACATATCTTAGTATATGAATACCAATAATATAAAACATTAAATCAAATCTCAAATATTTTTGTTTTAGAATTACAAAACGGCCATAAAAACCATTGTTAGAATACCTCTTCAATAACAAATATGCCTTTTCCGGGTTTGAGTTTTCATAAAAGTGAAAACAATGTGAATGAATCCTCATAATTCCCTTTAGGAAAATTCGCAAGTGAGGCAAACATGGCGAAAAAATACATTTTACTGTATATATTTATCATTTCTTTTTCAGGGAAGCAATTTCAGACATTCAACGTGCACCAGCTTCTACATTTGTCAGAGGTTGTTGAAGATCTCGATCCTTTGTGGTCGAACTCGTGTTTTCCTTTTGAAGACTATAATGGTGATCTGCGAGATTTGTTTCATGGCACACAAAATGTGGATGGCCAGGTCAGTATATCTACAGTATGCATGTTACAGCGTGCTGTACAGTGGCATTCGCTCCAAAAGTCGAAGAAACCAGCGTGACCAGGGTCTCTCCCTGGGTACGAGGTTGATTGGAGACTCGTGATTTGTCAGCTGCATGCATAAGCGTATGATAAAGTGCATTATAGTGTGCAATCACTGTGTTTAGTCAATTAGTCATTAAATTTTCTCGAATTATTATTTTTTATAGATCGTAACAGCTGTGTCGATCATTCAAAAGTTACCTGAAATTGCAAGATCAACTACTACTTCTCCCAGCGTTACGGCATTTTACGAGCATTTGACAAGAAAGGGCCACCGAACATGGTGAGATTGTTACTCAATCTAAAATCTTTCGTACTATGTATACCTTGTGCCACAATTAGTACATGTTCAAACAGCTAAAGCAGCTACACTTAATAATATTTATTTGCTTTTAATTTTTTTATTTTTAGTTCCAAGAAAGAAAGAATATCTGAGTCGTTATATGTGGTGGACTCACTTGAAAGAGTATGGAGTAATTCAAAACTGCTTAGTAAAGAACAGTTGAATTCTCTCCCAAATAATTCTGGGAAAATATGGTTATTTCGACGGTTCCTGATTGGTGGAACGTTGTTTCACAGTGCAAGCTATAGAAGAGTTGTTGCGAGAAATGACTACACTGTTGAGTTTGAAATGAATGGCGTAAAGAACTTTGGCACAATTCAAGTTTATGTAAAGGTTGAAGACAAGTGTTTTCGTCTCAGAATCAGAGATGGGCAAAAGTGTTTCTGTGAGCTTGCATGTAGCTACTTTGCTCTTATCGAAACGCTGGTCGAAGACGACCAACAGCTTCCAATGTTCCGTAACAATGTAGTAGTGAATCACATCAGGAAGGTCAATCCATCCAACAGATACACTGCGTACAATAGAGTCAGACTGCACCGATCGTTCCTGGAACGTCTCTTATGATTGGTTCCTATCCCTACACCTAACCCTATGCCTACCCTACCCCTTCCGCTAGTTTTAAACGTACATGGAATTATGGCCAATCAAAAACCGGTACACCCATTACATGGAATAAAAAATTAGCTAATCATAAGAGACGTTCCGATCGCTGCTGTACACTGAACAATAATAATACTATAAATCTATAATGTAGCCTACTTACGAAAAGTACTTTCAATGACTTCAGCTTTACTGTGTATTCGACTCTCGTTATATTCAACTACCCTGTATGGGGCCATTATTAGTGACCACCATCGCAATGTAGAGTGTATGTGAAGTACTGTATAAATTACGTGTAGATAATAAATCAATTCTAAGAAGAGTGTATTTTCCTTCATAGGATTACAGCAGTTCCAGTGTCGGGAATATTGACGAAGTTTCTGAGCGTACAAGTTTCATCAGGATCCTATATCTGCTCACTTCCAAATACTTACGAAAAAGATTGAAAGGGAACTGTTCGTATGTATGCTTAACTTTTACTGTGGCATTGTGATACAGTATAAGGACATGATCGAATTATATACCCGACTCTAGTTTAATCCTATTTTGAACAAAGTTGCGATCTATAATTCTGTGAATAGGAATTGAATAGCTATTTGAACAAAGTTCGTCACAACTTTCTATGAATAGGAAATAAATAGCTATTTAAGATCTAATTAGTTTGCTATATTTATTAGCTATTTTAACAGTGGCTCCAAAAATAAAAGGAAACATAGTTTAAAAATAGCTATTTAATAGCTATTTTGGACAAAGTTCGTCACAACTTTCTATGAATAGGATATAAATAGTTATTCAAGATCTAATTAGTTTGCTATTTATTAGCTATTTTAACAATGGCTCCAAAACTGAAAGCAAACATAGTTTAAAAATATCTATTTAATAGCTATTTTGGACAAAGTTCATTACAACGTTCTATGAATAGGAATTAAATAGCTATTTAAAATCTAATTAGTTTGCTATTTATTAGCTATTTTAACAATGGTTCCAAAAATAAAAGCAAACATAGTTTAAAAATAGCTATTTAATAGCTATTTTGGACAAAGTTCGCCACAACTTTCTATGAATAGGAAATAAATAGCTATTTAAAATCTAATTATTTTGCTAGTTAATAACTATTTTAACAATGGCTCCAAAAAAATAAGCAAACATAGTTTAAAAATAGCTATTTAATAGCTATTTTGACCGACTTGTTTACTCTCAATAGGAATTAAATAGCTATTTAAAAACTATTTTTATAGTGAGATTCCGTCAATTACTCTTTCAAATAGGATTTGAATACCTATCTCAAAGCTATTTTTTGGAAAAATATAAATAACCTATATTTTAAATAGAGTGTATATAGTCATACACTATTTTATAAAATTTGATAAATAGTAATAAAATAGTCATATTTTTGAAAAAATAGGGAAAAAATAGGGCTAAATAGAGAAAAAATAGGTCTAAAATAGGTTATAAATATGTCTGTTTCTACAAGGGATTCATACGAATTCAAATTTCTTTTTTACTTTCTATGCGCTTCCTATTGGTCAATCGGTTCTGAAACGAAGTCTAATTGGCTCATCTAAAAGTAACAGGAAGTTGATCAATTTTCTACCAAATGAATTGATCAACTTGAGGAAAGAAATTGGTGCAGATATGGTTAGCATAATGCTCTTTCCGGACGAAGGACCTACTGACCC